AAACCCTTGTATTGTGATTATTTTATCTTGAGATTAGTAATTCTTATAGTTTTATTTAGTTTTGTTTATTAGTTTTAGTATTATTTCACCTGTTGTCTTTGTAAATTGTAGAAGGTTTACACGGATAACATCGTATAAAATAGATATTAATAATAAAATAATAGTACATATACTTTCTTTATAATTTTTTAAAAAATACATTTATATTTTTACTTATTTATAAATTTTATTTGACAAATTTTAAGATAATTTGTAAAATTCTATACAAATATAATAACATAATTAAATTTAAATAAAGTTTCAATTTTCAGTATATACTATAAATTATTATTGTTCTAAGTTTATTTAGAGATATAATATCTATTGAAAACGTTATATCACACCAGTGTTGCAGGGGTTAGGGTTAAGATTTTTCGAGGGTAGTGTATTTATTATCGTGTGTCACGTCCTTCGAATATCAATTTTGGAAAATCTTAACCTGTTCCAGGAGGTATAGACTCTTATCCTATTCTTCTGGTGTCACTTATCGTGTAACTACTTTAATGCATGGGTTAAGGTTAGTGTTTGTCAGGGGTAGATTATTTATCACCATGTATCACACCCTTCGAATATCGGTTTTTATTAAATATCCTAAGGACTTTACATGCGGAAACCATATTTGTCATCTCAAATCTATCACATGAATTAAACACGTGGATCACCTGTTCAATTATGGACCAATCAAATTCAGAGGGGACATAGGATAAGAGTATATACCCCCCTATGAACAGGATAAAAGCCTATACCTGGAGTATATGATAAGGGTCCTCATCAATTTTTATTAGATATCCTAGGGACAGAATTTTTTTACATATTTGTCCCATAATATTCGTTACCAAATATTTATCACACGTGAAATAATTTCGATCACCTGAACATCATGAGTCTGAAATGTTTTATTTTTATTGGTTGATAATCACACTGGTGTGATATAATAATGTCGTTGATTTTAATTTAAAAAAATCATAATTATTGTCAAAATAATTATCAAATATTGTTACATTATTATTTGTCAACGAAACGTTAAAGATGATACTAAGTAACCTTAAAGTTTTAAATGTATTGTATCAATTAAAAGAGCTTCAAGCCTATTGCTTAAAAATGAATAAACAGTTATCAAAATGCTCAAAAATTTAGTCATTTAATTTTATGTAATAGGTCTAAAGTTTTTTATAGTAAATGCATTATGTTTTAAACTTTAGATAATTAATATTTTATGTAAAGATCAACTATATTTTAATCATTTCTATTCATGCCTAAGTAAAGTTTGATTTTCACTAGTAACTATAAAAATGTTTCTAAGTTGTGGATGTTGTTTCTGGCTATAATTTTTATAAAGGAGTTTGTATCTAATTTTGATATTCATTAAATCTGATAGAAATTATAGTTAAGAATTAGTATTTTCACAATTTGCATTGGAATTTTAATAATTATTTTTAAAAAATCTCTGTTCCGACACTTTTGGCAGGTCGGTATATTTGATAAATTCAATCTGTTTTTATTTTATTTTAAGCAATTGCTTCAATAGTAATAATAAACATCATTTAAAAAAAAAGTGTCGTTGCTTAAATTGCATATTAAAAAGTAAAGCAATAAATCCATTTCTTGAATTGTTGAATTAAGGCAAATATTTCATAAAACATTGTTATTTAATTGTTATTACTGTACTCGAAATATGTTACGGAATAATCCGATATAAAATTAAATTCTAAAATATTAATTCTATTTTAACAATTCTAAAAGTTCTTTTGGCTCATTTAATTCTGTGTGGCATTTAGAAGATAAATTTTTATTGGAATTATTTCTTTGTTTATAAGAAACAAATTAATCGAGAACAAATCAAAAAATTTTTGAAAGATTATGTAATGTTTTATAATATTACGAATATTACGGCATTTTTTTTCACAATTTTTACATGACCTGATAATTTTCCGAAGCTTTAAAAAAACAAATCCTTTATATGGACTTACTTCGTCATGTGCAACCATTGATACCCCTTTAAATTAATTGTACAAATACGTAGACTTTTCAGGAGATCAAATGATTCAAGGTTGGAAAGTTATACAGAAACGGCGACTATTAATTTATCCTGTATAATAGTCGGACCGTGAAAGATAAATGGATACATTATGAATTATTTAACTTTGAGTAATGCAGAATTTGATGCTTTGATACTAAAAATTGTTTCAGTTACATGAAAATGATGAACAAAAGACATAAATAAATGCTACAAAAATACTGCATAGGGGTTATATAATACTTTTATTAAAATAAAGTAGTTCCCACGAAAAAAAAATTTTTTTTTTAATCACCTGGAAAATTAATCATGAAAAAAAGTAATTTAAGCCGTGTATTTGGAAATTTACCATATATTTGGTATATATAATTATTGTTTTGGAATAGAATAGAATTGATTTAATTGATTTTCGAAAATAATAAAAAATAAAAAATTAGTTAATATTTAGTAATTGTTTGTTTGTTTTAGAAGTTGATGCTTGACAAAGACTGAATTAAATGTGGCTATGCAGTAAAAATTAATAAATTTTTTTTTATTTAAACCTCGATTTTTCTTTAATACCAATTTGTCCGCTGTGTTTTTGTTTAGGATAAGACATTCTATATATTTATCTCCAATTTTGTTTAGCAACGTTTTTTAGTTGTTGATTTATGTTAGCGCTTACTTCCATCAATGAAATTTTGTATAGAAATGCAATAAAATTTGTTTATAAGTGCCAAATTTTTCTTTGACCTAACAAATTTCATAATTTTTCGCACAAAAATTTTTTTATTAATTACGATCATATTGCAAAATATTTTTTTTTTAAAAAAAAGCTTTTAAATATTAAGAAATTTTTTGAATCCCTTTTAAAGAAAATGTCTCGCGAACTAAATCGTGTTTTTAATTCGGATCAATTACAATTACAATCTCAACCTTTTCATAATCATCATGAATGGATTATAGTCGATGAATCCTCTTCTATTGCGTCTCCGAATCAACATAATAACAATAATCGACCATTACCTTCAGTACCATTAATTAAAGTTCCCTTTCCTCCAAATGTTAATCCAGAAGAATTAATAATTAAACCAAGGAAAGCAAAAGCAAAATTGCCTACAAAGCCCCCGAATGCCTTTATGATTTATCGAATGCAATATGTTAAAGAACTTCATGCTAGAGATCACAGATTACCTATGAGAAGTGTTTCTTCTGCTGTGGCAAGTTCATGGAGAGGAGAACCAGAACATGTAGTTGAACATTATGAAGTTATTGCCAAGGAAGCTAGTAGAATTTATAATCAAAAATTTCCCAAGCCAACTTCCCCACAAAAAAGTCTTGGAGTACGTCAACCTCAAAGAAGAAATGGTAATAGTATAAGTATGGATATGTCAGATATTACCAATCAACCGTTAGTTGGGTCTATAACTCAAATTGATAATTCACGATCTAATCATTTTTCCCGATATTATTCAACTGAGAATCATAGCAATCGATCTTTGACGAATAATAATTCTTTGGACGCTCATTCTTCTCTCATTCACAATCATAATTATCCTAATAATCGGATGCATTCTTCAAATGTACAAAATCCAATTCCAATCCCTTCAGTTATGGATGCTCATTATTCTTCAAACATTCTTGAAAGACCTTCAGTGCTTCAAATAAGGTCTTTATCTAATTCATATCCTACTACGAATACCAATGTATCGCCATCTGCTTTTCATATGCCATCTTTGCCACATGTTCATTCGTTGACCGCGACGCCTTTTCATTATATGGACGAATGGGACTTTACCACTCCTGCTCATGCTTAAATTTATTTCCAAAATCGAATTTTATATCGCTTAGAAAAACTTTGACAATTTTTTTTATATATTAAAAAAATACAATCAATGAATAATTAAAAACTATCGTAAAAATCTGAATATTTCATTTTTTTTTTTTATTTTATTTTATTATCTTTTATTAATATTTTATATATTACAAATTATTTTCGTTTTTTTTTTGATAATAATTTTTCATTTTTAGAATATCTGATAAATTCTTTTAAGAACTCACTATTTTGTATGCAAGAGTATCTAATGATTAAGCATATATTCACTCATTTTCGCCACACATTAATAAATAATCAAATAATACAACATTATGTTTCTAAAATAAAATAAATAAATATATAGATATAGATATATATATATATGCAATATGCGTATAAGAAAAATCTTTAACTTTATTATATAATATAGTAATTTCAATCTTTTCAATCATTATTTTAGATACTCTTATGTACTTAATTCATTTTTTTTTTATTAGCCTTTACACATATAATTTCTCCTATCGTAAAATATTTCTTTAATATATGCTCTTCTTTTACTTTTCTATATGAATGTAATGTTATTTTAAATTTTTATGCTCTTGTTTGAGCATTCGTAATATTCACGTGATTAAACAATTGTAGCATTTTTTTTTAAACATTATTAACGACAAATAAAGTTAGTACACTTGATGCAGTATAATTAAAAAAACAAAATTTGATAGGATATTAACTTTAAATGGTTATGAATGCGTTATTCTAGATCTATTATATTCCATTAACAATTATGATCGATCGCGTTCCAGATTCTATTTTATTTTATTTTATTTTTTTCATTCACAGTCACGTTCTTTATGAAACATTTCGAACTGAGATGTTACTTTTTAGGGAATGAAGATAAAAATAATATTTTTTATACATAAGTTATTTATTACTATTTTCTCATTGACAATTGCATTATTATTTTGTTTTTATTTAAACTATATTAATAATATTTATAATATTTCATGTACACAAATGAAATATAATAACAATGTTAAATTACACGAAAAAATTATTCGTTCATTCATAGTAAAATTCACGCGATTTCTTCCTTTCATTTTTTTAGAATAAAAATATGTTCAAAACATGTTCTTAAGAGCGAATAAACTTGTGTAATATTTATGTTTTTAGGGAGATATATATTTATGTTTACATGTTATGAGATTTATTGCGTGAGATTTGTTGTGAGAGATTGGTTGTAGAGATTGGTTGTTATAAGATTGGTTGTTATAAAATTGGTTGTAAGATTTATTGGGCGCGTAAGATAGATAAAATAATAAAGGATAATAATAAAAAAAAAATAATAATAATAAAATAATGTAATAATAAAGTAATATAAAATAATATAAAATAATATAAAATAATATAAAATAATAAATAATAAATAATAGATCAACTATCGGAAGTTCAATTAAAGGAATAGAATATGATTAAAATTACTAAAATTAATAAAACTATTAAATAATTGATTTATTTTAATTGAATGAATAAGTTTTTGGGATTAAAATTTACTCGCTTTATTATGATTGGGAGAAAAAAAAAAAGCAAGATGTAAGTCATAATACCAACTAGCCATAATTTATATTATTCATTTCTAAAAGACAAACAATCTGTTAATCTTGTATCGAAGCATTGAAAAATGGACTGATTTGTTGTTAATAATTAAGTTATAAAAAACGCATATATGTTATTATGGTATTTTGAATTTTTTTTTTTTTTGAATTTTTTTGAATTTTATTTTCAGTATGGATTTCAATTATATAATCAAGGTTTATAATACATATATAATATAAAAACGTACTGTACGTTATTATTTTAATGACATATTATAAAATAAAGAATATATTATAATAAAAAGTAACTATAATATTATAATAATATAATTAAATACTGTAATAAAAAAATATCTGTATTGTAACTAATAATAAAAAATATATTATAAGAAATTTTTTTTATTTAAATTCTAACTTTTGGTTCAGAATACTTTATTATACCCTCAAATTGGCATTCATCATCAATTTCTAAATGAAGGCGATAATAAAATAAATCTTTTTTTTTTTAATTCCTTAACTTCATAAAAAAATTTGCCTACATAATGGCATGAATAAATAAATGAATTTTATATTTTGGAAAACAAGAATATATCTTTTTCCGATGTTAGAACACGCGAAATCATTTTGTTTATCTTCGTACAAGGCTGAGGTCAGAACAATTACATAATTTTTTTTTTATGTAACATAATTAAATGATAAACTCCGATAATATGCACAACAATTTTTTTAATCATTTATCCATTTTCGGTGATAGTAATATGGAGAATATGAAATATAGAAATATAGAGAATATAGCGAATATAAATAATAATGAAAATACAAAGAATATATGTATATATAATATAGAAGTCCATGTGATAGAAAACAATAATAAATTTTTTACCTAAATTTTCTGCGCATTTACTAAAAGTATTTCAATTTAAAATATTAAAATTTGTAAATTCTCACTTAACTTTAGTTAAACTATTATTAAAATACTATTGCATCCATGAAAATATAATTAATAAATTAATAAATTAATAAATTGATAAATTACAATTTCTTTCAGAACAGGTAATTTCATTTAGTTTGCAATTTTGTGGATTATTTTAAACTTTCTTTCATTTAGTGATCGTTAATACAATTTTCCTAATAATAAATAGATGATCATTTCTTAATTTGAAAAACAAGTGGTCGAAAAAAATAAATGTATATATTTCGCAATCTTAAAAATAGAACGCGACTAGGGTTTTTTTCATTGATGTACAATTTTTTCTTACTCGCCCATTACCATTTTTTATTATTGAGTTGCGTGTTTATGAATTATTTGTTATCCTGATACACTATATAAGTAATAGAATAATTTAGAAATAATCTAGAAATAATATAAACGGTTACGTAAGGAAAAGCATTAAATAAAAGAGTTATGACTTATTTCTTATAAATCAAGAATTGAATAAGAAATTTTAAAGTAATAATTTTGAATAATTGTAAACAATTAAGGGGTTATTATAACTAATAATGTTTATAATAAAGAGTCATAAATGAGACAATAATTTATCCTTAAATCTGTATTACGCGTTTTTCTTTATTATATTATCTTTAATTATATATTGATTTATTTATTATATTATCTTTATTGTTATATTATTTTATTTGTATCGTTTATTTATCTTTATTATATCTTCTTTATTATATCCTCTTTATTATGTTTTCTTTATTCTATTCTTTATTCTAAAATTTAAGTTTTTATTACTAAAAAAGTTCTCCGAATTCCTAAAAAAAAAAAAATCAATTTTAAATTATTCAGTTTTTATTGGTGTTTTATGTTATATATTTATTGAAAATCTTAAATACAAGATTATTATTTTAATGTATTACGTTTATTATATATTGTATATTGTATATTGTATATATATTATATAAGTATATTATATAAGTGTATTATATACATTATATACATTATTTACATTATGTTTACGATAAATAATTTAATTATCGGCCTTATTAGACTAATTGGTAACGTTTCTTAGATAATAAGATTTATTTTATTAATTAAGATTAATGTGAATATATCTTTGATTCGGAATTCTAAAAAGAACTTTCTCAATTCTCAGAGAATTTCTTTTAAATTTTCAATTGTAGTACGTTTTGTATTTGTTATTGCGTTGTTGTTGTATTTGTTGTGCTTGATTTTAAATTGAAAATCAAGATTCTTTTTTTACATTCATGATTCCAGAATTATTGTGTTTATATGCACGATATGCACAAAAGACAATATGAATCCTTTAATAGTATTCGAATTACAATAAAACGCGATTTTTAGAGGATTGCATTCGTCAAAGTTTTTTCAAACATATTTAATGATTCTAAACTTTAATAAATTTATTTAGAATTCTGAATAAAGAGTTTTAACTTTCGTGTAAATTTCATGCCCCTTATTCATATTATATCGAATGAAATAATTGATTTTTAATTATGATTCTAATTTAATGCGCTAAATTAAATTGTATCATAAACAATAGTGACTATTATAAAATAAAGAACCTTTTTTAATCTGAAAAATTTCAAAGATTGGATTCAAATACTTATATGAATGCTTTACGAATCTGTGATGATTTTACTAACGGATGACGTGCATATGAATTACCGGGTAAAAGTGATGAACACAGACACATTTTCCGGGAATACCAAATTTTTTGAATGTGGCTTAGATTCTGTATTTGGTGCTATCATTGTAATGTTTTTTATACCGCGTTTGATATTCTTAAACATAGAATATACCGAAAATGGAACATTGATTATCAAAAAAAAAAATGATGTTAGAATCGAGAGAATTCGATATAATGGATACAATGAAAAATAACAAAGTTTTCTTTTATGAACAAATTTATGTGATTTATTTCTATAGATGATATTTCCTATCTTGAAATTTAATCATTATCTTCACCTATTCTGGTAAATTAAATTAATTTGTATAGTTTTTAATTCCCTCAAAATTAAATCTCATAATGTAAATAAAAAAATTTCCCTTTTTTTTATTTATTAATAATTAGTGATTTATATTTGTTGTCCATGTACGTATATGTTTTATGAGAAAAACTCAAATACAAAACTTCAAGAAGTTTTAACGTAAATAAATTTCATCGGTCTCTGTATATAAAACCGAGCAATTGGGGATTAAGAGGTAAAATTAAATCTCTTTAATTTTTTATTCACTTTTAATTCAATATTATCGTCTATGTGCCACAGTTGTCTATTAATACAGGAATTTTAATAAGAATGCAAACGATCATAACTAATAAAATTTCCAAAAGTGCTTCATTTAATGCAGTATTTTGTGGTTTAGTAAGAATGCAAACGATCATAACTAATAAATTTTCCAAAAGTGCTCATTTAATACTGTATTTGGTAGACTATTACATAATAATAATAAAATAAATATAATTTTTATTTTATTTTTTTTTATCTATTTTTTATTAAAATTCGCTTAATATATCGTAGCATAGAATTTTAGCCTAACCTATTCCTGTTTCGGTAATCATGTAGCAGGTTTCTTTCGTTCATTATACTTTTTTTTGGGGGGGGAAGATTTGAGTGGTAAAATTTATATATATATAATGGATAATAATCTAATACCTAATCGAATACCATTAGAAGAGTAACAGCGCCACCCACCCAAGGAATAGGAGTATAAAAATTATTTTTTTTTTTTCAAAAACAAAAAATCGTTCTACCCACTCAACAATTCATAGGAATCAGATTCTCAAATTTTAATTTTTTTACTTTAGATTAAACTGATCCCGTAATATTTAAAATTTGGTTTGATTTTTTTTTTTTTTTTTTGAAAAAGATAAAATATATAACAATTTGCTATTGATCATTTATTTTCTCATTGTTATAGAATGTCCGCTAAACTGTACAATCATGCACGAAACGTTCTGATCAGAATGTATCTAGAATATCAAAGACTGACTGAATTTATCTAGTGATAAGATCGTGGTACTAAAAAAAAAATACTGACTAGTTAATTGATATCTGCAAAATCGCAAAATCGCCATGTGACAAATAAAGTTAATTTGAGATTCTTTTTGAATTCCATATTAATTTACGTTTCCGTAACATTTGTAGATACATTCTTCTTTATTATACTTTATTATATATATCATTTTAGGTATCGATCTAGCTTTAATCGATTTATCAATTTTCAAAGTAATGTTCTTTATAGAAAAAAAAAATGTTGCTCGAATATTGGGCTCATAAGCAAATTTTATTCGTTAATACATTTCTTTAATTTTTTTTTACACATATTTTCAGAATTTTGACATTCGGTTTTATCTATTTTCTTTCTTATAACAAGTTACTATAATTGAAACTAATCCATTTCTTAAATATATATATATATATATATATTAATTTGATGAAGTTATTACAAATATCTTCAGATATATTCACGAAAAAAAAAGTTTCTCTTGAAATATATTTTGATGATGACTTCGAGGGTATCATGTATGGTCTTCCAGAGGAATCTGTTGGATGTAAATTAAAAGGAAAAGTTGTCTTAAAAAATTCGAAATCTCTGTTGACAAAACATATGGTATTTGTATTTCTTGGAAAGGCATCAGTGGCTTGTGGTCCTCCAATGGATACATCAAGACCAGAATGTAGGTTTTTACTATTTTATAAATGTGTGTTCTTTCACTGAACTTAGAAATAAAAGTGTGTTTTTGATGTATATTTTTTTTTAAAGATAAAAAAATTTTTTTTTTTTTTTAATCACTATATTGTGCGATTATGATTTATAGATAGTGAATCACAAATAATTTATCGGAAACAATGTATATTTCATAAGTCAGAACTTTCAAATGAAAAAATTCCTGCAGGTATACACGAATATCATTTTGAATTCGATATTCCAGGTCACTTGCCCTCTTCATTCAAAAGGGCACGTGGGAAAATCGAATACGCTTGTTATGCGATTCTTGCAAGACCAATATTTTGTAGCGATGTTGTTACAAAGAAAATTGTCACGCTCAATCGAAGCCTAACAATTAATTCCCAACAAATGAATTTAGAAGTAGGTACATTTAATGATAAAATAAGATATAAAATCAATACCCCTTTAATTGTATATCGAGAAGGTGGATTAGTTTCAGCTAATATAACATTGGAAATTTTGGATTCGAATTCAATGGTTGAACATATTGAGTATGGATTAAAAGAAGAAATTAGTTATCACACTACCGGTGAACATGAGATGTCAGTTGCAGCGAGTATCAATGAGGACAGGTTTCCTCTTGGAAAAAAACGAACAAAAGTCGTCAATGCTTCAGAACCATTAATAATTAGTTTTCATTTGTGTCCTTGGGTAAATTGTGATTTATATTCCGAGTTAATTGATATTGAACATAAAATTGTGTTGACATTTGCAGTTAGCGAGAATATTTCAATGGAGGAAGATATTTGGTCGAATATTCAACATGATCATAGAAGTTCTAGACTATCAGCACGCTCATTTTCTTTATTACCTTTATCACTTAACCATAATGAGGATAATGATATAAATCTCAATAGAAATCGAGCAGCTCGTTCACGTTCTTTATTACCTTTGCCACGTAATCATAATGAAGATAATGAAATTAACAATCGAAGTAGAGCACGTCCCCTTTCTTTATTACCTCCTTCGAATTTTCGAAGATTTTCTTTTCAAAAAGCTTTACGCGGAACACTAGGCGAATTGGAATCGAAGACTAAAAATTTTGATATTGAAATTCCTATAATAGTCACAACAAAATCTTCTAATAGACCAACACAAATAGAACAATCACTACAACCACGATCATCAACATCATCTTACGATGAACCACCAACTTATGTTGCAGCCACAATAATTCCCTCACCCCCAAGTTACGATGAAAATGAAAATTATCACTATAATAACGAATTGTAGACATTTTTTGGTTAATATACTTATTATTAGATATATTTTTTCTGTGCTTATATTTATCTACTCGTATTTATATCGAATATTTATTTATATATATATTTTCTAAATATTATTTTAATAATGATAAATATTATTTCTTGATGTATCGAGCTCATATGTATATGTATATGCAGAATTTTACCCTATTTTGAAATTTTTTTTTTGATTTTCATTTGAACTTGCCTCATATAGGAAATATAAAGTAATTCTTTATAAAATTGCAACATTAAAAATTAAAATTGTCATCGAAACAGAATATTCCATTTAAAATTTAAAATTTAATTTAAAAAAAAAAAAATAGCAATAACATTAAGATTAAAATTGGCATACATTCCATTTATATTTAAATAACAAAATTCAACCTTAGTATTTATTAAAAAAAAAAAAAAAAAAAATGTATAATCCAACCCGTAAATTTCAAATTTATCAAATTTTTGCAGCGAACACAAACCTCGGGAAAACTATATTTTCTACTGGATTATGTAGGGCTTCTGCTTTAAGATTCAGACATTTAATTGATAATAAAGATAAATCTGGTTCACAATCCTTAAATAAAAAAATATATTATCTTAAACCAATACAAACTGGATATCCTGAATCATCGGATTCAAAATTTTTGGAAGACTTGATTGATAAAGATATGAATGTTAAAGTAAAAACGTTGTACACCTATAAAAAACCTTTGAGTCCACATCTTGCCGTTGGTAAGAAGGTAAATTTGTAAAATATCAAGTTGGTTACTCTTACCTTTACTATTCAAATATTCAAATCCAATTAATTTACATTAGTTAGTAAAAGATCAAGATATATTGGATTCAATAAAAAAATATATTTCAAAATGTATCTTTGAGTGTAAGAACCATAAAGGAATTCTTTTCTTAGAAACAGCTGGAGGTAAGCATCATCTATAATTCCATTCTTAACAGTAAACATTTAAATAATAATTTTTTAAATAATTTTATTTTTTAAAGGTGTAGCAAGTCCGGTGATGTCAGGTAAGATCTAATTATTATCAAGTCATTGTCATGAAATGTTAAAATTAGTTTACACTCACTCGCATACAAAAACACTTTAAAAATAATTTGCTTTAAAAAGGAACTCTACAATCTGATTTTTATCGACCTCTCAGATTGCCAATAATTCTAATAGGTGACAGTGATCTTGGCGGGATATCTACAACAATATCTTCTTTTGAATCATTGTATTTACGTGGTTATGATATTCCTCTAATCCTTATGTTTGAAAACATACAATTGGAAAATCACATGTTTCTTATAAATTATTTTAAGAATTTTATGAATGATAATAATAATGTGCTAATCGAGACAATACCCCCACCACCACTTCAATTACCAGATCTTCACCACGATCAATCTCAATTAAAGAATTATTTCTCTCAAATTGATAAAAAATTGATAAAAATTATGAAAAAATTAAAAATTTGGCATCATAAAAGATTCGATAGATTAGTCGAGATGGATGAATTGGCAAAACAAGTGGTATGGTGGCCATTCACTCAACACAATAAGGTTAAAAAAGTAAATGTGATCGATTCTGCTTTTGGAGATTTTATGGTCATTTATAATAAAAATGATAAAAATGGAAAAATTAAGAAAGAACAAATAACGAAGAATGGAAAGAATGAAGGAAATAGAAATGAAGAAGAAAATAGTAAAAAAAGAGGTGTGTTAAACGAAGTGTTTGATGGGGCAGCTAGTTGGTGGACTCAAGGTAACATAAGAAAAATTTTTTTAAGTTAAATATATTATTTTATTATTGTCATTGGCTAATTTTCTGCAATTTCAAATTAAAAAGGTCTAGGACATGGTTCATCAAAATTAGCATTGACTGCTTCTCACGCAGCCGGTCGTTATGGTCATGTATTATTTCCTGAGTCAATAAATGAGCCAGCATTATTGCTTTCTCAAACATTATTAAGAACTGTAGGGAATAAGTGGGCGACACGTGTTTTTTATTCTGATAATGGCAGTACAGCGATGGAAGTTGCCTTAAAGATGGCATTAAAATCTAGCTCATTGAAATATAATTTTGATGAGGATTTGAAAATTTTGGGTTTGAACGGTAATTATCATGGAGATACTATTGGAGTTATGGACGCATGTGGGCCTAATATTTATAATCAGCAAGTTGTATGGTGTGTTTTTTCACTGTTATTTTTTTCTTCCTTTGTAATTAGCATACAAATAATCAAGTTCTAAATTTTACTTTATATCTTAAAGGTATACACCGAGAGGGGTATGGCTAGATCCACCACAAATTCAACTAAAAAACAATATATATAATTTAACAATCCCATTTACAAATCAAATATTTCAATATTCATCATTAAATTCATTATTTTCTCCATCTCGTTTATGGTCTGATCCAGTTTCATCTATCTATAAAAATTATATTGATGAAGTAATCTCTAAACATATAAAGGAAGGATATAATTTTGGTGCATTGTTAATTGAACCTATTTTGATGGGAGCAGGGGGAATGATATTGGTAGATCCATTATTTCAAAGATTGTTGGTCAAGGGTGTTAGAGAGTTTAATAGATGGGGCAATTTAAGAAAGGATCAGGAAAGAGAGAAATGTGAAGATGAAAAAGAATGGAAAGGATTACCAGTGATTTTTGATGAAGTATTTACAGGACTTTGGAGATTAGGAAAATTAAGTGGTGCAGATATTTTGGGAGTGGTGAGTATAAAAATTATATTAATCTATTTTCAAAAATTAACTTTAATCAATATTTCAAAATTTTTTATAAAGAATCCTGATATAGCTGCATATGCAAAACTCTTAACAGGTGGTTTGCTTCCATTAGCTACCACACTTTCAACCGAATCAATATTTAATAATTTTCTTGGGGATACAAAAGTTGATTCATTATTACATGGACATTCTTATACTGCACATCCAATTGGTTGTATGGTGGCTAATAAATCTATTGAAGAATATGAAGTGATGAAAAATAAAAATGAAAATTGGAAATCTGGAATGAAAAATTGGGGATTTGAAAATGAAAAAAATCATGAATATGGAATTTGGAGTATGTGGGACAAAGAAGTATGTTTATAAAATTACAACATAATTTTTTTTTTAATCATTAATTAATAACATTTATTATTAAATTAATTTTTATATTAAAGATGATTGGGAAGCTATCATGTTTACCAAATGTCAAAGGACTATTTGCTATAGGAACAATATTAGCTATTGAATTGAAAGATATTGATGGTGGTGGTAAGGTGTTAAAATTCATTAAAAATTTATTTATTTATTTATTTTTTGGATAATTATAATGATATATGAAAATTATTACATATTTTAGGTTATGCTTCAGAGGTATCATTAGAAATCATAAAACAATTATCAAATTCAAATTACAGTAAGGATGATATCAAAATATTATCAAGGCCATTAGGAAATGTAATTTATTTGATTTCCTCTTTGATTAGTGAACCTTATAATATTAGGAGGTTAGAAAAGAAGGTTTATGAGTGTTTGATTAAAGCATAAAATTTAATATAATGTATACAATACAATAAATAATAATATGATTTGTTCTTTCCATTTAAATTATTTAAATTATTTATTTGAAAATAAACTTTATCAATTTTATGTTATAGTTCAAAAATAGATGAAGAGTAGTAGTAGTTTCTTTTTGAGAAATGGTATTGTTTGCCAGCAATATTTATCTAAAGAAAATAAAGTCTTTGAGATCTTTATATAAATTTTTTATATTAAAGATTGGAGAATTAACAATTTTAAAGAATCTTTTAGTTAAAAAGAACCCATGTCAATTTAAATTATCATTGAAATCATATTTGAAATAGATATAAATCAAAGTTCCAAGTGTATAGAACAACATATTCTAAATGTGAACCTTTAGAAAAAAGAAACTACCTGTTCTTATAATAGCATAGCACTATTAAATTCACTATAAAACAAAAAAATATTATTAATACTGCTTTCTTGGGATCTCTAATTTTATTATTTTAACCTCACATTAATTGTTGAGTCTTAGGTTTTGATAATGTATTAAAGTTTTTCCACATTCTATTTGATTATATATATAAAATTAAAAGCCGACGGGCGGGATTGAACCACCGACCTTCAGTTTACAAGACTGACGCTCTACCACTAAGCTACGCCGGCCCACAGAAATGATCTTTTTTTTAATTTTTATTAATTATTTACTAATTGTGATTATTCATTTCGGGACAACACATCAATATCGTAACGTGATTTATAAATTATATTTTTAATTAAAATATTAATTACAAATTTAAAAATGATTGTCGCGCAGCCAACTTTTATTATTTTTAACTTTCGGAAGTGATAATAATAACGATAAAATCTCAAAATAATATTTTTAAATTGGTATTTTCTTTTTCATATTTAATTAAGGCTATAATTTCCGTAATATGCGGCCTTAAATGCCTTAAATAGTTATAATGCCTAATGTCGTAAAAATTAAATTATGGTTTTCGACTTTTAATGCAAAAATCATGTACATATAATTGTAAGTTAATATTAAAATTAAATTTTTTTTTTTTATAATTTTTTTTATTAGTACTTTATTATAATTATTTTTTTTTGTTTTTACATAAATAAAATTTTAGAACTTTCCCCGCGAAATAACCTAATTTATACCCCCAAATACATATACAAATTAATTATAAAAAACATCGCAGAAAAATGTTTGATATATGAAAAATATTATAAAAAAAATGAAAAATATATATTTAAGAAATAATGAATTAATTTAATTTAAAGTGTGTATATATATATAAAAACTGTATATATATATATTCTCTAAAAATAATATATACTTTTTTTAAAAAAAAAAAAAAAAAAAAAAACTTAAAATAAATAATTAAAATTACAAAAATATTTATAATACTTGTTTATCGACATACAGCGGGTGTTAATGTAACTCTGATAACACCATCTTCATCAATTGAACTAGGTATTCCTAGTTTATCTTTCTCTTCTGGTCGATAATGAACTGATTCAGCTAGTGAAGTAGCTAATGAATTTAAAGATGCTCTTCCTATTGGATCAGTATCTGCTGAAAGTTTTTCGTCATTGTTACTTGAACTTATTTCATTAGACCCATTGTTTAATGTGGGATTGAATATGATCTTTTTCTTTTTATCCACATTTGAGTTTATTGGTAATATATTTGGAGATGTTAATGTAGTTGTTGTGCCGGCATTACCTGGCATTAAATTACTTATTGCGGCACTAATTATACCAGTTTTGGGTTTTTTTGTGCTTTGTTCCGTACTAGCGATTAATGCTTCAAATTTTTCCATCTTTCTTAATTTCTCTGGATTTGGTATACATTGTTCATTTTCATTTATACGTCGATTTTTATTCAATCGTGGCAATTGTGATTGTATCTTTTGGGTTCGAGATGGGCTCAAAGGTGGAGATTGTGGTGGTGGTGGACTTAATATTGGTGGCGTCGGTGCCGTTCGTGTAGGAACCAATGTTGGTGTTTGTGACATATATGTCGGTGATAAGGGTGATAAAGGTGGTATACCCGGTGAATTCGGGGAATTTGATGAATTTAATGGTTGTTTATTGAAAAATCCTCCAAGTAATCCATGTTTTTGCGTTCTTGAATTTTGAGCCAGCGAATATAATGATGTTTCATCATCTTTATTCATTAGACGTTCCGATTCCTCTAGAGATGAAGATGTTACCATTATAGAGGAATTTGGTACTAAAGAAGTAGGTGAAGAAAAAGTAGATTGTAATCGAATTGGATAAGGTGGTGGTTCATTGGAATTAACTGTCAAATCTGAATGATTCTCAGATTTTGAAGATCTTCTTTCTGGTGGTGATGAAAGTATTGATAATGTATTGGTTTTAGACTTGAGCGATGAAAAATGTTCTTGTTGAATTGTAGTTTCATTGTGTGATCTCCTCGGAGGTGGTTGAGGTCCGACCAGATTTTCCTTTTTACGGCTTTCTTCTTCTACCTTCTTTACCAATTCTCGGGAACTTATAATTCTTGTTGTCTCAAATCTTTTTATAGCTTTATCCGCACCAGATATTTCATCATTTGGATCATTATCGGAATTGTTATTACCCTCTTGTTCTTCAGAAAATTTTTCCTGTTTCTCCTTTCTCCTCCTTTCTCGTCTAGCTTCTCTATCTTCTAATTTAGCATTACTACTTTTCCTTGTTTTTCGTCTTATTGACGGTTTTGCAGAGGGTTGACTGTTTATTGTGTATATACCACCAAATGAAGTCATTATACTTTCTTCTAATAATTTACGTCTAAAATCTAAAGATGAACGTCTATTGATCACGATGGAAGTTCGTCTTCGTAAAGACTTATTTTTATTATTATTATTATTCAAAACGTTAATGGATAATAACCCAGAATTGCGCTTAGTATTTACGCTAGATAATATTCTTGATGCATGATTTATATTATTAGTAGGAATTATTCGAGAGACACGATTAGGATTTGTTGAAGCAGCACGTTGAGTACGTTGAGCACGATTGGGAAGAGGTATAAGAGAGGCATGAAGTAATTGCGGTGGTTTAGGAGGACCAGGTAACCATGGTAAACCATTTATTCTCTTTGGTATTGCATCAGAATCCATATCTGTAGGATCATTAGAATGTGCAGGATTTGAGGTAATAGAAAATTCCATATTTCGTGGTGGCAATTTTTTCCTTTGAACAATTGTGCCACGTTTAATAGGTCTATTAATAGAATTCCGATTTATAGATTGAGTTCTTACAAGAGACTTTTTAGCTATTAGTCTTGGATCAATAAATGACATTTCTCTTGGTACTAATACTTCTTGTTGTTTTCCCTTTGAAATTAAACCTTTTCTATTAGAATTTTTAACTTTTGATGAAGGACTTATTATTGAAGAATGATTTTTTTGTTTTTGAATAAAGTTAGGTTGTGACGTAGGTGGAGGGGAAGATCTAGATATTGGAGGTGAAGGATATTTACGTTCACTTTGCTCTTTTTGCTGTTCCTTTTGTACTTTTTCATGAGTTATATTTGAATGTGAATGAAGTGAATTTCCATTATTTTTACTTTGAATTGAATTATCTTTTTTAACATGTTTTATCGTAAAAGATGAATCAATTTCGGAATTATTTTTAGTTGGACTATGAAGAATTTCTACCACTTTAACGGTTGTTACGGTGATTCCACCATAAGGAGATTGAGGTGGAGTATTAATAAGGTGATCAATTTGTTCATTGGAAGTATTAATTGTGATTGATTTAGATTTTTCGGATGAAATATTCTGTTGTAATGGTTGCTGTTGTTGATGTTGTTGATGTTGTTGTTGATGTTGTTGATGTTGTTGTTGATTTTGTTGAAGTGATGAACGCGGAGTATGTTGTGTATGTTGTGGTGTGGATGGCTGTGAGGAAGATATTTGTTTAATATGTGGTGAATCATCTGATTTATCATTAATTTGAGAAATATCATTAAAGTTTGCAATTTTATCATCATCAGTACTAATATTTCCAGAGGAAGATGAAGAAGAATTCCAATTTAATTCATAAGTTTCATAAGTTGCATATCTCTTTGCAGGACTCTTTTTACGAACACTTGTATCATTTATATGTGAATGAGAAACTGGAATATGATCATGATAAAATGAAGAATGATGAGATTGATGAGATTGATGAGATGAATAATCTGTAGATATATGAGGTATATGAGATATATGAGATATGTGTTGATGGTTTATTTCCTCAGGTAGTGCCATTTTTTGCGTATCGTTTTGGTTTTGACCAAAAACAGAATTCCACAATTTTTTGACGTTTGAGTGTGGATGTATGACCACACTACCAAAAGAGTGTAATACTTGATGGAGCCGCACAGCGACTATTGTTTAAGAAACAGCAGTTGGAGCTGTTAACGTAACCTATTAATTATATTTAACTGACTATTAAAAAGTACAGTTTAAGGAGGGAAGGGGAAAATGAAGTAAGTTTTTTGTAAGATATTGATTAAGGATAAGAAGGATGATATAAAACATTAAAGTAGTTAATATATTCCCAAAGAGAGAATGATCTCGAAAGAAATAGTAAACGAGTGAAGAAAATAAACAATGCAAAAGAATTATAATAATAATTTATTGTTTCAAAGAAAATGCGTATTTTATTATTATTATTTTTTTTTTTTTTGTAATAAAAATATATTTGAAACACTAGATTGTTTAAAACAGTTAGACTGGTAGAATAAATTAAATAAAACAGTTAAAGCTGAAGGAAAAAAAAGGTAAAATGAACACTTTTATGAAATATTATTGGTAAAAATAAAAAATCAAAATCAAGGAAATTTAAAATTTGCAGAAGTCAAGCGAATAGGAACCAGTTAAGATATTTTATCGACATCATGAAAATAATTACCTTTAAGCCCCAAGTGTAGAATTGTTGAAAAGGCGTAAAATTCATGAGAATTTCTCATAACCAATTTATTTTCTCAAGGTGATACGAAAAATGAAATCTAATAACGTATAAATTTAAACTTGGCTTGGAGGGAAATTAATGCAATTCAAATTTAGGTCACACCATAATATAAAGTGTATACATATTTATATAAACGTTTTTAAACATCGTTTTTTTGTGATATGAGACACAGTTACTAATCTGCGGAATAAACTCTTGCTAAATAAAGTACACATAAATTAATTATTTATGTATTTTGTCGTACGTATTAAATGTACTAAGCGAACGAGTAATTCAAGTAAAAAAAGTAAAAAATTTGATTGAAGTTAAAAAATGAATAACCTCTTACTTACTCTTACTAGTAACTTTGTCGAATGCGATCATATTTCTTTCTTTTTTTAAAAAAATATATATAAATATATATATATATATATATATATATTATATGTTGGTTTGAAGTAATTAAAGTAAGTAGTTGAAGTAATTGAAGTAAATAATTGAAATAGTTGAATTAAGAATAAAATGTGTAGTCGATAATTGTAATAAAAATACTTGAATAGTCAAATAATAACAAATAAAATATTTTTTGATGACTTCAAAAATATCTTCTCAAAACATTTTAAAACAAAATAATGTTGTAGTATATATTTTGAGTCACATGAAATAATTAAAATTTGACAACAATGGTTATATATTTTCAATCGGGAAATTCAACCCATGCGGGATTTACATCCTAATTATATCCCGTTCAAGAAGATTTGCCGAATTATAAAATTTATTTGCAAGAAATCAGATGACATAAAGAAAATATATAGATTTGCAGTTAAAAAAACATAACCAAACCAATAAAATCTTAATAAATTAGAATTGAGCCAATAATTACCAATTTCACTAATTTCAAAATTCAATTGTTTACCTTAACCTAAATATGCAGGTTAAATTTTTAAATAATTTGTGCATTTATGAACGAACTACATTTGTCACATAATAAAGTATGTAAATAAAATAAATTAATGAAAATAATTAAAAATGATTAGTTAATTAATTTGCTTTACATAAAACAAATAGCAAACAATATAATGTACATCAGATATCTGTAAAACGTTTTTCACAAAAAGAATGTTTCTTATTTTTATTTATTTCGAATTTTTAGCAATCAAAAATTCCACATATAGATTACAAACTTTGAAAGTCGGTCATTTTTTAAACTATAATATTAACTTTATCAAATTTAAAATTTACATATTATTTACCAAAAAGAGTTTCTCAAAAAATTTAAGGAAAACAAAGTTGTAAAACATTAATAAATGAAACATTAGTAGTAATTACATCTTTCATCTCTCGTTCACCATACGATTGGATACCCATTTTTTATTTTTATCAACCGCTATTATCTAATAGAATTTAGACCAAAAAGTAAATTTTTAAATATATTTTTTAAATAATACACACACATTAAGTCTTCTGATTATACACTTTAAAGGTAAATTATGAATTTTGTTGATTATACAAAACAGTAATTATATGCAACAATTAATTAATTGTCACACATATTATGAATTGATGATCGTGAAAAAAATTAAAGTAACAATCGAACAGCTGAAATTCTTTGCAGAAATACTACATTACCTTCTAAACTCATGATTAAAGTTGATGAAAAGGAGGAAAACAAAAAAGAAAGTGAAGAAGAAGAATATAAAGAAGTAAATGTAGTATTTATTTGTATCGATATATCTATATTTAAATATCTAGATATTTACCTTTCTTGACAAAAAAAATTTAACTTAATTTTTTAAAAACTGCCAGGATTTAAATCTTTATTAAGTATACCTATTAATACTGTATTGGAACTAGCCATAAACATTATAAATGACCCAACTTTCCGCCTCCCTAGAATCTAAAATTTTAAAACAGGTATAGGAAAGCGTAAGTATTCATTAATAAAACTTTGTCTATTAAATGTTATTGTCATGGTATAATATTATAATTCCACATGACAATTATAAATGTTTAATCATGGAGAACTAAGTTCAACTAACTTCATCGAAATCAAAAAGGATTTAATACTGTCACCGGAAATGCAGTCAAGGCAGAATTTTCTATCGAAAGTAACTTATCAATAGAGTTTATTTAGAATAAAAGATAACCCAACATATTAGTATATATTAGTGGATATTAATACACATTAGTATATATTTAGTGTATGTAGTTGTTCTCACTTATATTTATTTAAACTTCTCTAAATACTTTGGGTGGATGCAGTTAGGTGAGAATTATGAGGATTATGATTGAATTCAAAATTATATTAATTAATTCAAGTGGGAAAATTTTTTTTCATTTTACATTTTCAAGCATTCAGTATTTGAATTTGAATTATTTAACTCTGAAATCTCGTGACTAGTTTAACTTTATAGACCTATATTAATGATATTACAATATTATTCATTGATCACTTATTACTTTTCAATGATGGAAACATTCTCAAGTGTGGCAGGCACTATTCGAGTAAAGGGTAAATATTACATTGAATTTATATAGTATAATGAAAATTTTATAAAAACCAAAATTAAAATTTAATCCTTTTATTAAAAATTTTTGTTTTTCCTTATCTAATTATCAAAAGTAAAAAGCCTTCCTGAAATTTTAATTATGTCAATTGTATCAATTTTTCATATGACTCAATTCCAATTTTTCAGAATTTTAATTGCATCTAACTAAATTCAATAACTTTGACATGTATAATTCATACTATCTTGGTTTACTTTTTGATAATTTGATGTGTTTATACATGTTATGTTTTCACAATGTAGAATAATCCATTTTTATTCTATTGATAACAATTTATAGTTCATTCAAAAAGAAGTTATTAAGTGTAATACTCTCATAAGTTTTTGTAGTCAAAAGATAAAAATGTAAATTTAATTTATATTAAATTCCTAAAATTTCAATTATTAATTAAATTTTAAATTATTAAATCTGAATTAAAAAGGTTTCATATATGTTATCCAAATTCAAATGCTAAATTCCAAATTTCAAATTCCAAATTAACTTATATTTTATAATAATATTATTTTTAATTCAAATCAATTTTATATAATGTAAAGAGATTTTTTACTAAGATATTCTAATACCATTTGAAGTTCTGATTTTAAATTAAAATATGAAACAGGAACTATTGTAAGTCTAAAACAGTACATATTTAATTTAATTACAATTTAAACTTATTAAAAAAGTAAAATTAATTTTACTTCATATGATTTACAATAAAATATATTTACAATAATAATAATAAAAGATGCAACTTGATAATTAAGTAATAATACATGTATGAATGGTTGGCTCAATTATTGTACCTCTGGCTAATTGATTTTCTTCTGGCTAAATTCTGGCTCAATGGCTAAATAGGACTAAATGGCTAAATTCTAGCTCAAAAACTAAATTATAGCACAATTCTGATTAGCTGGCGCAACCCTGATCACGTGAAAAGATCATTATTATAATTGAATAATTATTTAAATTATTAATATTGTTATTTTTAATAAATTATCTTCAGACACTAATAACTTTATAAAAATTAGTACTACAAAATAAAATATATATTATTGTGTAACAAAAAACTAGAGCGTTCAATTAGTTATAGAAATATCTTGGTAGAAAATTATATCAAATTATATAAAATTGATTTGAATTAAAAAATAAAAATAATTATTTTAAAACTTAAAATTTTTACAAATATTAATATTAAAAAAACAATTAACTCTTATTTTGAAACTTATAATAAGAGCTTTAAATAATTTTAGAATTTATATTTAATAACAATTATTTAATAAATTTTACAATTGCATCAGTCAATTAAAATTGTACTATTATTTAACCTTTGCATTAGAATTTAATCTTTGTATCAGAATTTAGTCATTGCACCAAATTGTATCAAAGCTAATTTCTGAGCTCAATTTGCTAAATTAAATCTGGTTAAATTCTTGACTCAATTCATATTGCACCTACCATCCCTAAATATATAACAAGAAACAATAATGCATATATGTAACCAATAACCAATAGATTCTCAAGAATAAACAGACAGTGATACTACTTATACTTGATTAGTAGAATATAATAAAAGTATTTGAGTTTAACCTAGTAGTTATCAAGAATTTAAAGAATATAAATAAACTTTTAATAGTAATAAAACTCTAATCTATTCTATAGATGTAGTATTTTTATTCTTGTTATAATATATTTATTTTATTTTATATTATTATATATGTATATTTTAATTTATATTATTATTTTATCATTATTATTTCATTATATA